TTATTTTTGAGACAGAGTCTTGCTATGCAGTTCAGGCTGGCTTTGAAGTCACTTTGTAGCCCAGGCTGGCCTCAAGCTCTTAGGAATCCTCTTGCCTCAGCTTCTTGAGGGCTGGGATTACAGGAGTGCACTGGCTGCATTAGATTATTGGTTTTTTGCATTAAATTATTGTTGACAGATTCTCAGACCAAAACGGCAGGAAGTAAAGTGCCCACGGTGCTGTTACACAGAAAATCCATTCTAGCGAGAAGGCACAAGCACGGAGGGGGTATAGCTCAGTGGTAGAGCATTTGACTGCAGATCAAGAGGTCCCCGGTTCAAATCCGGGTGCCCCCTCTCGGAGTAAGAGCTCCCTTCTTTTTACTTCGTGTTCCAGACCCGGTCTTAGGAGCTACCTTCCAGATCCAGGGGGATCGAGGGCGATGACTCTCGAGGGCCATCACCCCTACTTTTGCTGGCTGCTGAGGTTGGATCCCTGGCCTGTGGGTTCCTCTGCGCATGCGCATGTGAGCGTGCAAAGGAAGTTGTAGCGCGAGCCAGGGCCAGGAGCTCCGGGGGGTCCCGGAGGATACTCGTGATGTACTGCAGGGTGCACAGGGGGCGCTCCTCAGGTCATGGGTCTCTCAGGGTCTCTCTCAAGGAGGGATTGAGTTGCTAAGGGCCGTGCTTGGACTGGAGAAGGAAAGGAAGGCTGGGAGGCGCCACGGAAGGGAGAAAGTTGTGGAGAGGCAGTGGGGGGCTCCGGCGGAGCAGGAGAGGGGACCTCGGCCTGGAGGGACGCTCCGAAAGTGAGCGATCTCGAAAGTCGTCTCTTCCATACTCTCCGATCACAAGTTTTACGCCGTCAGTGGGAGTTATTAGCTCAGAGCTTCAGGAATCGTCACGATTCCAAGCAAATCCCCTATGGTTTCTTTATCTTTTCTATTTCTTGTAAATACAGTGTCTAGATTCACTCTCTTGGGAGCGCTCCACTGCGCCTGCGCGGAAGTAGAAGTAAGAAGTTACGGGCGCACGGTTACCAGCAGAGGGGGTATAGCTCAGTGGTAGAGCATTTGACTGCAGATCAAGAGGTCCCCGGTTCAAATCCGGGTGCCCCCTGGAAAGTATTTTACAAACCGAGACTCTCGCGCCACAGTTTTCTTAAAAGTGAACTTTTTCTTTTTGTTCTTCCACAGTTTGTATGTCGCTTTTTCCTTTCAGGCATTGAAGAGCGGCAAGTTCCAGAACAGGCGGTGCTCCAAATCCGTGACCAGCCACAGCATCGGGTCTGCGTAAAGACGATCCCTGGCCCAGTGAGTTAAGAACTTGCGGTAGAGTCCAGAGATCTGTTTAATAAACGCTCCAGGCGATTTGGGTGCGCGATTTCTATTTAAAAATTCTGTGCGACGCTTGGTTCTGATATCACCAAGCTGTGTTTCCTCCTGAGCCCTCTAGGGGACCTTACGGGTCAGATCGCAGGCATCCAGGCCCGGCCACGGCTGGGGATCCCGGCAGGGGCAGCAAGCGCTTCCCGGGACTGTGTGTCGACTGGGGCAGAACCGGCCGGTGCTCCTGAGCAGGGGACAGCGGCGCGGGCGGCGCAGCCTCGCATGTGGCCACTGGAGGGCGCAGGAGGCCGTAGCGCGACGCGGCAGCCGTGGATTCCGTCGCAGAATCGCTAGCGCTGAGATTTCTATTGGAAATCGAGAAGGAAGAGTTCACCGGCAGGACTTGCCTGTCGCATAGTGGGGAGCCATAATTTAGGGCTGGGGGAGGTTGTCTCTGGGCCCTGTGTACTGAGCAGGGAGGGTTTGGGATTGCGAGGTTAGGGAGCCTTTAGGGTTGGTTTGCTTTTGGTGTTGGTGCTGGGGATTAGACTCAAGGTTTTCGTTCTAAGCTCCATCCCCAGTCCTATTTTTAGTTTTAAATTTTTGATAAATTGGTAAATTACCCAGTCTGGGCTCTAACTTGCGATTCTCCCGCCTCAGCCTCCCAGAGCTCTGAGACTGCAGCCGTGAGCCTCCACGCCCGGGGTGTCTTAGCTCTTTCCTCCTCCCTGAGCGCCTCCAGCCCATCCTGTGCCTCTTGTCCGCACCTGTCCTTCTAGGCCGGGGCTCCTCTCCGTCCCCGCCCTGTCCCTCTCGGTCCCCCAGCTCCTCGCCTTCCCGCGAAGTGGGTCAGAAACGCCTCCGCGTCCTGACCCGATTCCCCGCCGTCTATCTCAGCTCCTGAACGCGGGTATTTTTGTTCTGTCCTGGAAGAAACGAAGACGCTGTGTCCCCAGAGCCCGGGGCGCGTGGCCCAGGCTGGGCCCGGCCCCCGCACGCCGCTCCTCGGGGCTGGGGACGGGCGCGGTGGGGCCACGCGCGGCGTGGAATTGGGGCTGGGCTGGGGCTCTGGGGCGCGTGCACGCGTGCACGTGCAGAATATCAGAAACGCAAGGGCTCCGAGCTCAGGAACTGGCGAAGCTCGGGGCGGGCCGGCGGCCGGAGCCCTGGCCGGGGCAGGGGGCGCTCGGTGGG